GCCGTGGACGGGGAAGGTTGGCGATGCGTCTGCGTTCCGTGTCTGGGGATCTCGGGCGTTTGTCCGCGACTTGTCTGCGGACAAGCTGTCCCCTCGTGCTGCTCCTTGCGTCTTCCTGGGTTTCCCCCCTGACGCCTCAGGGTGGCAGTTCTACCACCCCACCTCTCGCCGTGTTCTGTCCTCCCAGGACGTCACGTTCGACGAGTCGGTCCCCTACTACCGCCTCTTCCCCTACCGCACTCCGTCCCTCCCCCCGCCACCGCTCTTCCTGGTACCAGGTCCCCCCCCGGTAGACCCCCTCCCCCCTCAGGGTCCTGCCCCTTCAGGTGTGTCCCAGGTAGACGCTGTTGAGCCTGTCGAGGTCGCTGGTGACTCTGGTGCTGCTGAGGGTGCTGAGCCTGGGAGTGCTGACTCTGGGGGTGCTGAGCGTGTGGGTGCTACGCCTAGGGGTGCTGAGCCTGAGGGTACTACGACTGGGGGTGCTGAGCCTGGGGGTGCTGCGTCTAGGGGTGCTACGCCTGGGGGTGCTGCGTTTGGGGGTGCTGAGCCTGGGGGTGCTACGCCTGGAAGTGCTGAGCCTGGGGGTGCTGAGCCTGGAGGTGCTGAGCCTGGGGGTGCGGAGCCTGAGGGAGCTGGGCCTGCTGGTGCTGTGCCTGGCGGTTCTCCGGGTGCTTCTTCTCGCCGGGAGCCACTCTCTCCACAGGAGCTGCGTGAGTGGTTTGCCCGGCGCTGGAGGCGAGCTGCTGGAGCTGGAGGAGCTGCGGGTACTGGAGTTTCTGTTGCTGCTGAGGGAGCTGGTGCCACGGGTCCTGGAGGTGCTCGTACTGGGCGTCCTGGAGCTGCTGGACCTGCGGGTACTTCTGGAGCTGGAGCTGCTGCGGGTGTTGGCGCGGAGACTACTGCTGTCGGTCCTGGCGGCGGTCCTGCTGGGGGTACTGCTGGTGCTGCTGGGGGTACTGGTGCTGGTGCTGTCCCTACTGGTGCTGGTGCTGCCACAGGGGGTGCTGGTGCTGTCCCTACTGTGTCTGGAGTCGCCGCGCGGCCTCGGCCGTACTTCGTTCCGCTCCTTCAGCAGGTTCTTGGTCTCCCGTCTTCTACTGGTCCTCCTCCTCCCTTAGAGTGTCCACAGCCTGTCCCGTCGCAGTTACAGTTACAGCCGGCCTCCCCACTGCCTGCTCCGTCTCCCTACACTGGTCCTACTGGAGGTCTTGCTAAGCGTCGTGAGCCTGCGTCTCGCCCTGCGTCGCCTGTCCGTGCTGCTCGCACTAGTGGTCGTGGTTCGCGTCAGCGTCCTCCTCCTGTCCCTGGCACGCACCGGATGTCTCTGCGTCCGTCCACTGCTCCTCTGCGTGCCCCTTTGCCTTCTCCTCCTGAGTCTTCTCTTCCTGCTCTTGCCGACCCGGAGTCGGACTCTCTTCGTGCTGCCAGTCCTACTGTCACGCGTCTCCTTGCTACTGTTGTCACTGACCCTTCCTTAGAGTCCACTGCTGCGTCTGCCCTAGTTGCTGAGCTCGTCGACTTTGCTGCTCGCTGTCGCCTCGACTATGTCGCCAGTCTTGTTGCTGAGTCTGAGTCTGTCTGTCCTCCGTCCGTCGGGGGTGAGTGTGCCCTTGGCACGGACGTCCTTGAGGACAGGCAGGAGGAGTTCCAGTGCTTGGCCGCTGCTTCACCTCATCTCGTGTCCGTACTGCTTACCCCTGAGGGAGACCCGGATGCACTTGACATCCCGACTCCGCGCTCTTACGCGGAGGCGATAGAGGGTCCCTACTCCTCTCAGTGGCAGGCAGCTATGGACGCAGAGATGGCTTCCTGGAAGTCCACAGGCACCTACGTTGACGCTGTTCCCCCTCCTGGGGCGAACATCGTCAGTGGCATGTGGATTTTCAGGGTGAAGCGGCCGCCGGGTTCTCCGCCTGTCTTCAAGGCGCGTTACGTGGCTCGAGGCTTCAGACAGCGGCAGGGAGTTGACTACTTTCAGACCTTCTCTCCCACCCCGAAGATGACCACTCTTCGGGTACTGCTGCACGTAGCTGCTCACCGTGACTACGAGCTACACTCTCTTGACTTCAGCACTGCTTTCTTGCAGGGCAGCCTGCACGAGGAGATCTGGCTGCGTCGCCCACCTGGTTTCACTGGGTCTTTTCCTCCTGGCACCCAGTGGAGCCTACGGCGGCCAGTCTACGGTCTCCGCCAGGCACCGCGTGAGTGGCACGACACACTGAGGACTACACTTGCGGCTCTTGGGTTTGCTCCCTCTACTGCCGACCCGTCGCTGTTTCTGCGCACCGACACTTCTTTGCCGCCGTTCTACATCCTCGTGTACGTCGACGACTTGGTCTTTGCCACAGCTGACACTGCTGGACTCGCCCACGTGAAGTCCGAGCTGCAGAAGAGACACACGTGCACTGACCTGGGTGAACTGCGCAGCTACCTTGGCTTGCAGATCACTCGGGACAGAGCACGCCGCACCATTACCCTGACTCAGTCACACATGGTGCAGCAGGTCCTTCAGCGCTTCGGCTTCACGTACTCCTCGCCTCAGGCCACTCCTCTGCCTACTCGCCACTCGCTCTCAGCTCTGCCTTCGGATGAGTCCGTAGAGTCGAGTGGCCCGTACCCAGAGCTTGTTGGCTGCCTCATGTACCTGATGACCTGCACACGACCTGACCTTGCATACCCTCTTAGCATTCTCGCACGCTATGTTGCTCCTGGGAGACACAGACCGGAGCACATGGCTGCAGCGAAGAGGGTGTTGCGCTACTTGTGCAGTACGTCGGGCATGGGGCTTGTGCTTGGAGGGCAGAGTCCAGTGGTCCTTACTGGGCACGCAGACGCTTCTTGGGCTGACGACCAGGCTACGCAGCGGTCGTCACAGGGTTACACTTTCAGCCTTGGTTCCGGCTCTGTTTCGTGGCGGGCTACCCGCTCGTCTTCTGTTGTCGGCTCCAGTTGTGAGGCTGAGATCTACGCCGGGGCCATGGCTGCACAGGAGCTTCGCTGGCTCACCTACCTGCTGACTGACCTCGGAGAGCCGCCTCGTTCTCCTCCAGTGCTGTACGTAGACAACAAGGCCATGCTGGCCTTGTGTCGGGAGCAGCGACTGGAGCACAGAACGAAGCACATTGCTCTCCGCTACTTTCTTGCTCGTGAGCTGCAGCAGCGTGGTCAGCTGCGTCTTGCGTACGTGGCCTCTGAGGCCAACACTGCTGATATCTTCACCAAGGCGCTTGCGCCTTGTGACCATCAGCGCTTCTGTACTCAGCTGGGCCTTGTGCCTACCTTGCCTCACTTGCTCACCTCTTGACCGTGCTTGTACTGTTACATATATATATACCTGCTCTTGCTTGTCTAGCCTTTTTATATATATGTACTCCTGCATGTGAACTGGCCTTGTGGCCTTGAACTTGTGCTCGGAATGTGTGGTGACTTTGTGATCCACCCTGAGCTTGCTTTGCTTTGCTTTACTTGACTGGTCTTGTGACCCCTTGTTCTCCCCCACTTTGCCTATGGGGGTGTGTCAGAACATTATAGCTCATGCATATTGTGTAGGCTATAGTGGGGCAGCCCATAAGGGGTACAACCCAATTAGGGTTATTACTTGTACCCAATTCATTCATAGTTCATTCATTCCTTGTTTCTTCTCAGTTTTCTGCCCGCCGTGCGCCCCGAGGCGCGCGGCGGCTTTCTGCCCCGTCACTCCGCGCGTCGCTCCCGGGAGGCGCTGCGACGGGCGACGGGGACCCGCGCGTCGCCCCCCGTCGCCCGTCGCGGCCTGCGCGACCTGCGTAGGGCCCGCGCGCGGCCCGTACAGCCTGCGCGCGGCCCGTACGGGCTGCGCCAGGCCCGCGCGCGGCCCGTACGGGCTGCGCCAGGCCCGCGCGCGGCCCGTACGGGCAGCGCCAGGCCCGCGCGCGGCCCGTACGGACTGCGCCAGGCCAGGGCGCGCCTCGGGCCGCCCGCACGCGGTTCGTACGGGCTGTGCCAGGCCCGTGGGCGCCCTGTTTTCTCTGCCCCTGCGCTGCCCGCTGTCCCCCGTGCTTCTGACGGCGCCCCACCCCTGCTGCTGCCCGTTCTCCTGAATTAGGGTTTGGGGGTGGGGGGTATGGGGGTGCAGTTTCTGTGCGTCGTCCCCTACTCCTCCTCCTCCTCCGTCTCCCAGTGCTGCAGCTGCCGCTGAGGGGGGTGGGTGTGTGGGAGCCGAAGGAGTGGTACTAGGGGGTGACGTGCAAGTGGAGTTAGGAGTGAAGCAGTGGGTGTGTGGGGGGTGTGTGGGACAGTTGGAGGAGGTTGAGCGGAGGCTGCTGTCTTGTCGTCCGCAGCACCTGTAGTCCGGGGCGCACTGTCCTGGTAGCCCAGAGAGTCTGCTGCGCCTGTCGCCCGAGGGTCCGTTGCTCCTGTAGCTCGTCGTAGCCCGTGAGCCAGTTACTCCAGTAGTCCGGGGCGCACTGTCCCGGTAGCCACTGTGCCAGCAGCTCCTGTTGCCCGTGTGTCTGCAGCTTCAGCCGCCGTCTCTCATCTTCTCTCCTCTCACAGTCCCTCCTCCTCCTCACTTGCCCGCTGTGATTACCTCTAACTTTGCTTCTTATTGTGAACTCCTGCTATACCTGCTCATTGTGCTGATTACACCCCACTTTGGCTATGGGGGTGTGTCAGAATGTTGTATTTGTCTAGCCTGCAGTGGGGTACTCTATAGCGAGTACAGCCCAATCTAGGGTTTCCTATATGTACTCAACTGCTTGCTAGTGAACCCCTCCTTTCTTCATTCTTACTTTCTACTGCTAGTTCTGACAGGCCGGGGGGGAGAAGATCCAGACCTCGATCCGGCACGTGGACCCGCAAATAGCGAAGAAGTGGCACCGCGACGAGGCGATCCGCGTGCTGAAGTGAGCTCGATAAAGTAGTCGAATACGCAGGCCATTTTGCAGCGCTGCGTAAATCATGCTTACTGACTATCTGTGCCATGTTGCTTCAGGTTTTTCCGGGCGGCGGTCCGGGCCGAGATGGGCCGCGATGGTAGGAAGTGGGAGTGGCCGAAGCCTGCCGATGAAGAGGTCATCGACAGGCTCGCCGACTGCGATTCACCCCTTCGAGATGTGAGTTCCGAACGACTTACCATCCTATAGTGTGTCCTTCTTGCGCCATGCGATTGCCTAACGCGGTGCTCATCCGTTCTCTCTGCATTGTTGTATGCAGAAAGTGCCCGACGTTGTCCGGGACGGGGATGCGGGCTCCAGCCTGCTTGCAATGAGCGCGATGTGCTGGGTGGTGAGGAGGTTGGAACTTCTGACCGGCGACCTCCGTCGCAGTGAGACCAGCATGGACAAGGTCAACGTTTCGGGGTTGAAGGCGCTGCAGAATGGGATGATAACGTTCGTCAAGGAGCACGTCGCCCGGAAACGGGCGGGCCTTGTCGGAATTGCGGCCGACGCTTGTGACGACGACGACGAGGATCCCCCTTCGACATCCCAAGCAGTAGGTGTCGCCCACACCGTTGACGATGCTCGAGGGAAGACGCTCGGAGAGCCCGGAGGCGGCGTCGACAAGGCAGATGAGGAGGCAGGAAGGGCGGTGACTGGGACCGCGGAGAAGCACCAGGACGACAACGGGGATCGGGAAGAGGAGGATGATAACGACGGTCAGGAAGATGAGGACCATGGGAATCGTGAGGAGGTAGAGGAGGTGGAGGAAGAGGAGAAGGAGGAAGAGGAGGAGGAGGAGGAGGATGAGGGGGGCACGGCGGAGGAGGAGGATGATGAGGGGGGCTTGGCGGAGGAGGAGGAGGCGGATGTCGGGGAGGCGGAGAAGCAGCAAGAGGGGGAGCAGGAGGAAGAGGTGGAGTGGGAGATAATGGAGGAGGTGGTGGAGTACGACGACGGAGCGGCGAAAACGGGTGGGAGGTCGGCGGATGCTGTGAACGGGAGAGGGGATGATGACGACGAGGAGAAAGTCGGCGTGGAGGCGGCTCCCGGGGGGAGTGAGAAGGTCGTGGTCGGCGATGTGGTTGGCGACATGATGGAAGCTGTCGACCTTGAGGCCGGTGATGAAGGGGATACCGCAGTGGCAACGAAGCAGACGGGCATGGAAGGGCCTACCGAGGCCAACGCGGGGGAGCGGTCAAGGAAGAAGAAGGCGGCGCGTGGTCACCCCAGTTCCTCCGAGTCAGGTCGGCAGGCACCGCTGGACGTCGTCGAGCAGCTGCGAGCGGAGAACATGAGGTTGAGGGCCGACAATGCACGCCTGCACAAGTCGCTCGGTGACCAGACGGGACGGGTCGACATCTTGGCGAAGGCTGTAGCTGGACTCCTCGACAAGCTCACGGCGTTGACAGCCCAGGTCGCCGCCACCGATCAGAATGCGGCAAAACGTATCGATGTCGCCTGTTCGGCCATGTCAACCACTATTGCCGACATCATCACCGACAACATCTCTGAAGCCATCGACGCTATGAAGTCGGTCTCACGAAGGGTAGTGGACTGGTTGAAGGATATTGACGGTCCCCAAGGAACGATGGCAGTCGAACGCGCAAAAGCGGTAACCTGTGTGGTCGAGCACCAGGCGGCTGTGTGGAAAGGCTTGGAGGAGACCATCATCAGCCACATTGGCGCCGCGCAAACCAACATTGCCGCCGCGGTTTCACGCGACATCGTCCTGCCGCCCCCGCCACCTCCTCCTCCCGCCCCAACTCAAGCCATCCCGGAAGAGTTCCTTAAGGCGTTCAAGGACGACGTGCTGAAAGCGGTGATGGAGGTCACACAGCAGTCGTTTGTTGCGTCCGGGCTGAAGGTAATAACCGAGATGATCGGCAATGTGGCGCCTGGTCGACGTGGGTCGTCGCCGTCGGCCAACGACGCCGGCCAGACGCAACGACAGGATGCTCAAAAACAGGGTCAGAAGAGGGGGGCCGGAGGCGGCGGGGGAGACGGAGGCGATTCAACGAGTGTTAAGCGGAGTAAGGGAGTCGATGGAAGCCGCGGCGTCGGCGTGGTGGGTCCTAGCGGCTCGCGGACTCAAGGTCAGAGCGTGGTCGACCAGCTCAAGAAGAACGGGGCCGAGGTGATAAGGTCGCACCGCAAGGGCGATGGAATCTGCAGTGCAGATGGGGGTCCTGCCGACGAGGTTGCCGCTCAAACCGCTAGACCAACAGCCCCGCCCTTGGTCGCCGACAATGAGATTCCTACCGCTCAAACCGCGGTAGATGGCGGCGCCAAAACCGTCAAGGGACCGTCTGTTGGGGTGGCGGGGACAACGTCGATTCCCCGTAAACCACCTGCGGCCGCCAGCGCGCCGGTCGGCCAGTCAGCCGCCAACAACGATGGGCTGGCCCTTGCGCCTACTCAAGCTCCAGCAGACCGTTCTGCCGCCAAGGGCGACGCGAAGGAGGGTGCGGCTAACCGCGTTGCTCCGGCTGCCAATAAGGCGAGCTCGCTCAGGGAAATGCTCCACCGTATGGAGGCCCATCGCAAGGACGTGCATCAGCCTCCCGTGGTCGATGCCGCCCCTCTCGAAACAGCACGGCCATCGGTCACACCGCAGGTCGCCGCCACAACGTCAAACGCCCCTCCTACCGCGCCTCTGGTTGCCGCCCGTCCTCCCGCGGACCCAAAATCCGCATTGCTTCGCGCCCGGTTAGGCGCACGTAGTGCGGCAGCGCCAACACGGACTCAACCGAAGGCCGGCTCAAGCGCGACGCCGACGTCGATTGGCATTGTTGCTCCCACACCCGGTGCAGCTGTTGTCGATGCGGCGGCGGAGAAGGGCGTGAGTGCAGCGCTAGCCACTGGTGGCGGAGGGGGTGACCCAACACAGGCGGCGAAAGGCCACAACGACGCCGACCTCGCTGCCATGCAGGACCTGTTGGAAGTGGTGCATCGCCCCGGGCCCCCCCCGGCTCTGGCCATCTCAGACACGGCGCATGTGGAGCCCTCGGCGTGTCCCCCAGGTGGTTCAGCGATGCCAAGGACGACCACTGTGACTGTCGGCGACGGAAAGGCGAAGCGGAAGGGGAAGGCTGACACAGGGATAGGGAGGGCGAGCTCTCAGAGGAAAACACGGGCGAAGTCGGCGGAGGAGGAAAATCAAGAAGAGAAGTCGGCGGGCGAGGGCACGTCGACAAAGAAAGGGAAGGAGAAGGCGGCGGAGAATCGGGAGGAGAAGGTCGTGGTCGGCGAGGGTAAGTCGGCGAAGAAAGTGAAGGAGAAGGAGGAGAAGAAGAAGAGGGAGCAGGAGGAGAAGGAGGCGGAGGAGAAGGAGAAGGGACGGAAGGGTCATGGCATCCGCCACGATAGTTCGGGCGATGGGTTAGGGTGGGTGGGCGAGATTAAGGTGCTCAATCACAATCGATACATCGGCAAGTCGCGCGAGAAGATGGAGCTGGCGTACCTGCACTCGATTGCGTACATCGTCTACGACGGTTATGTCAGCAAGGTCCTCATGGACGAGCTCACCGGCTTGAGGGATACCGAGATGGAGGAGTGGAGGAGGGTGTGGGAGGAGGTCAGGATCCTGCCGACAGGGATGTGGACGGTGATATGGGCACGGGGCGCGTACCTTCCACAAACACGGTAAGTCGGCTACCCTTAGCCCGTCGAGTGCTGATGACGATGTCGGAGTCCCTAATGGTAGCACCGTGTCATGTGATTGCGTGACAGGTTCGATGATATCCTCAGCATGTATCGAGCGTACAAGAGCTCAGGCGATGCGCACCACGACGCGCTCTTGCCGACTACCTGGTTCCCCGTCGACGCCGACACGAAAGAAGGCCAGGAGAAGGCGGATGCTATGATGTCGGCCATGATTGGTCGCGTGTCCATGTGCGCGGCGTATGGGAAGGTCGCTGCGAGTGCGGCGAAGAAGACGGAGCTGGTGGCACAAGCATGGGCGGCATCGGCTTGCGCCTTGTGGTGCTTTGTCGAGAACGATGACGCAGAGGTGGTCGATGCTGTGGAGGAGGGGAAGGCGGCAGCGATGCTGGTCGGTGCGAGCGAGACGACCGCAGGTGTCTTCAAGGATGTCATGCAGGCGGTGCTTCAGGCCGAGATCGACAGGGAGCAACCTCTCGGGGAGGTCGCGCACAACGTCGCGCCGGCGTTGCAGAGTCTCGCTCTGCAGAAAGTCTATCCGGGGAAGGTTCCCGCAGTCGAAGCCGTCGTGATCGCTAGAGTGATGGTGGAGACCATGGCGCTCTGGGGAATGTGCCCCGTCGCCGGGCCGAAACTCGAGGAGGTCGGCATCGTGGTGCCGTGTGACGCGCAGATGGAGCACGATTTTAAAGACAGGGGGAAGAAGGGGCAGAGGGGCAAGCAGGGCAAAGACAACACGGAAGGAAGAAGGGGAAGAAGGGCAGGAAGGGCAAACACATATGCACTGGGGGTCTTCATGCCGCCTTCTTGCGCTTTGTCGGAGGACGCTGCGCAGGTGCGGTCTGCTTGGCCAAGTCGGCCTCGGTCTTCCGCATCTGCTCCTCCTAGGTGTCTGGAAACAGGCGGGCGACCCAAGTCCTCGTCTTCAACTCGAGCGCCACCAGCACACATGCGACACGGAGCTTCGAGACCACCTTGGGGCCCAGCCCCTTGACGCCCAGGCCAGGCTCCTTGGACTTCGTCGGTGCTGTTTCCGGTTTGAGCACCGTGAGGGCATTGTAGAAGGTCCCAATGCCCAGCGCCGCGATCCTGTTCAGTGCAGCGATGACGGCTTCGGTGTCGGCATCGCCGTCGCTCGAGCGAAGAAGGCGCACTGCATCCATGGCCTTCAGCATGCGGCGCACCTTCATGTCGTGTGCACCCTGCGTCGCGCCTTCGAGGAGGGTGTGGCAGTCGACGAACCCCGGCTCGAAGATCCTGTCGTAAAGACGACGGGTGTCGTCAGCGGTGGCGGAGTTCCAGAGGCGCCAAGCGTCCCTCACGGTCTTTGCCTCTTGCCAGGGTTTCACCACATTGAGCTCGTAACAAGCCTCGTCGACCGTCTGTGGGGGTTTCGGAGGTTTATCATCCCGTTCCTTGGCTCCGGCCCCCGTATTGGCCGAATCCGCTGAGCCACCCTCGCTTTGCGCTTGCTCGTTCGCCGACGGCGGCGCCGCCGGCATCCTCCGTGCTTCTGACACACGGAGTGCCTCGGTGAGTCGAGCAAGCTCGGCGGTCAGCGTCGTGATGGTATCGTCGCGCATCTCGATCTTCTCCTGAAGGTCGATCTTCTCGACCGCGGCGCGCTCGATCTCTTACTTCAGCGTCTCCTTGAGGGACATGTTATGATAATGGGTGTCCATGCGGACGGAGATTTCCTGCAGCAGTAGGCGGAAAGGCGAAAAGAGTTTAGAACTCCCTGGTAGCAGAACGACGCCGACATCGTCGTCATCTCACCTCTGGCTGAATCTGTGTCGGGTCCCGGCGCTTTTTGATCGTCTCGGTGTCGACTGCCTCGACCCTTTTCGCCCAGTGCTGGAAGAGGGCAATCCAGCGGAGCTTGGAACCTTGGACGTACGACTGCCACGGTGTGCGGACAAGTTTCACCGCGAGGTCCTCGGCGATGATGCGACGGAACATCAGGAGGGTACGCAAGAAGTGCACGGCGGCTTTGTCGGCGTTGCTCCCATTGACAGCACGTGTTTCCGCCTGCAAGTCGGCAAGTGATGTGGGTTAGTAGGGTGTTGGGCAGCCAACTAAGCCATGGCGAAGTAATAACATTGTCGGCGACGCATAACATACATCGCGCAGCATAGCATCCACGCCGGGGAAGATGTGCTCGGCGAGGATGTCCAGGAGTTTGACGGAGGGCTCGACCCTGCTGCGACCCAAGAAGTAGTCTTGCTTAAAACCCGAGTAGCCGGCCTTCCTCATCACCACCCCAACGGGAATGGCTGTGATGTAAGCACGTGTCATCTTGTCGAGAGCCCAGTGTTCCAGCTCGGCGATCTCGGCGCGTGGCGTCCCTTCGATGGCTAGCTCCTGCGCACCTCCGGCGCGTGCGGCGTGCACGTTCCGCTTGCAGAACACCTTGTTGGTCGTCCACATCTGCCGAGTCCAACGTTGATGGCTGGCGGCGGGGAGCTCGTCTTGCTCCTTGTCGTTTTTGGCGAAGAAGAGATGCTTCTTGTACCAGCGTTCGCGTTCAGTGGTGTCAAGCGGAGGAAGGAAGTCGACGCCGGAGAACTGACCGATCTGGTCGAGGATGAAGTGCAACCACAGGCCGGTCTTGCCAACGGCGCACAACTCTGCTTCCAGGTGTCGCGCCGCGTAGCTCTGCTGAAGACGGGCATCCTTGGAAGTATTCGAGTTACGCGCGGCGATCAGCATGACGACCGGCTGGTTATCTGGGTTCACCGACGAGGTGCTCTCCAGTCGATACAAGAAGACATCAGGTAGTGCGATCTCGTGGATGCTGGCGCCGCGCAGGAGAGAGTGGTGGGAGAGTAGCGTAAGCACCTTGACAAGCAGGAATCTCCAGAGCGTCTGCGACGGAGTGGTTGCCCGCGGGTTCCACGCCGCCGCCGCCCATGTCGGCAACACCTTCATCATGATCTGGCGGAACTGTTCGGCGGTATAGGTATCGCCGATGGTACCGCGTCGACGGTCGGCGCAATTCCTGCACACAAATTCGCGGGGTCAAGTGATTTAGATGGCGTCGACTTAACTGAGACGAAAACTTGATTTGAGGTGTCGACCAACTTACTTGATGTCCCTCTCGTTCTTAGTGCGGACGTTGAACCGCACCTCCGATCTGACCACCGAGATCTCCCTCATGATGCCCAGCTCCTTCTCCCGGTACAGCGTCGCCTCCACCCTCGCCGCCATCTGGCATGCCTTTATGCGCCCGAGGATCGTGTGCACCGTTGTCGATCCCACAGGTGCGGTTCGCGTGGCATCGTTCCCCTCCTCGGTCGGGTCAACAATGAAGTTACACTCACGGCTCATTTGCTTCACGTAGGCGCGCTGCCGGGTTTCGGTGACCCTAGGGCCATGCAGCCAGATGTAACGTCAGGGGACCACGGCCTCGTTGCACCAATCCTTTTTCTTGTTGTCGCGGATGTAGTAGCTGATCTCGTCGACGTGCCTAAGTCGGTGCTCATGGGGTAGCTTGTCGCGTATTTGCTTCAGCATCCTCGCTGCCCACCTCTTGTAGTGGTAGATGAACGAGGTGTACAGCCTGAGCGTGCTCTTTTTCTCCAAGGTTTATAGGTGGCGTAGGGCGTTCATGACGAGCACGTCGATGTTGGAGTACACCATGTCGTCCACTACGAAGTCTGTCGCCTTCCACTGTTCGCGTGGCACCGCCATGTTCTGCTTGTCCTCCTCCTCGTCCTATTCGAGCATGTCATGTATGTATTCATACTCCCGCCTAAGGCGTTCTTCCAAGGTGCGCGGATTCGTGCTACGCGGAGGACACTCGTCAAATTCGTCGTCGCTCTCTTCCTCGTCGTCGTCGTCATCACCTTGGTTTTCCGCGCCAGCCGGCACCGACGAAGGTCCAGGCTGCCCATCTGGCGTCGGGGTCGACTTCTTCGTAAACTCCCCTATCGGCGGTTTCGGTATGTCCTTGGTGAACTGCCCTTCGGGAATCTGAGTCAGTGCGTCAAGATCGTATAGCAACTTCAGCGTCTCTTCGGGGGCAGAGGACGGACTGTGGTCGGTTGGGGGACCAACGTCGGACATGTCGACGTCGGCCATGACCGCTCGTATGTTGTGAGAAACTGAACGAGAATGGATTGACTAAGGGAAAGTTGGGTACAAATACAAACCCTAGAAAACTGTACCCCATATGTGCTACCCCACTATAGCCTACAGTAGCTATGTCATATAAATCTGACACACCCCCATAGGCAAAGTGGGGGAGAACAAGGGGTCACAAGACCAGTCAAGCAAAGCAAAGCAAGCTCAGGGTGGATCACAAAGTCGCCACACATTCCGAGCACAAGTTCAAGGCCACAAGGCCAGTTCACATGCAGGATTACATATATATATAAGGCTAGACAAGCAAGAGCAGGTGTATATATATATGCAACAGTACAAACAAGGTCAAGGGGTGAGCAAGTGAGGCAAGGTAGGCACAAGACCCAGCTGAGTACAGAAGCGCTGATGATCACAAGGCGCAAGTGCCTTGGTGAAGATATCAGCAGTGTTGGCCTCAGAGGCCACGTACGCAAGCCGCAGCTGACCACGCTGCTGTAGCTCACGAGCAAGGAAGTAGCGGAGAGCAATGTGCTTCGTTCTGTGCTCCAGCCTCTGCTCTCGACACAAGGCCAGCATGGCCTTGTTGTCTACGTACAGCATTGGAGGAGAACGAGGCGGCTCTCCGAGGTCAGTCAGCAGGTAGGTGAGCCAGCGAAGCTCCTGTGCAGCCATGGCCCCGGCGTAGATCTCAGCCTCACAACTGGAGCCGAGAACATAAGACGAGCGGGTAGCCCGCCACGAAACAGAGCCGGAACCAAGGCTGAAGGTGTAACCCTGTGACGACCGCTGCGTAGCCTGGTCGTCAGCCCAAGAAGCGTCTGCGTGCCCAGTGAGGACCACTGGACTCTGCCCTCCAAGCACAAGCCCCATGCCCGACGTACTGCACAAGTAGCGCAACACCCTCTTCGCTACAGCCATGTGCTCCGGTCTGTGTCTCCCAGGAGCAACATAGCGTGCGAGAATGCTAAGAGGGTATGCAAGGTCAGGTCGTGTGCAGGTCATCAGGTACATGAGGCAGCCAACAAGCTCTGGGTACGGGCCACTCGACTCTACGGACTCATCCGAAGGCAGAGCTGAGAGCGAGTGGCGAGTAGGCAGAGGAGTGGCCTGAGGCGAGGAGTACGTGAAGCCGAAGCGCTGAAGGACCTGCTGCACCATGTGTGACTGAGTCAGGGTAATGGTGTGGCGTGCTCTGTCCCGGGTGATCTGCAAGCCAAGGTAGCTGCGCAGTTCACCCAGGTCTGTGCACGTGTGTCTCTTCTGCAGCTCGGACTTCACGTGGGCGAGTCCAGCAGTGTCAGCTGTGGCAAAGACCAAGTCGTCGACGTACACGAGGATGTAGAACGGCGGCAAAGAAGTGTCGGTGCGCAGAAACAGCGACGGGTCGGCAGTAGAGGGAGCAAACCCAAGAGCCGCAAGTGTAGTCCTCAGTGTGTCGTGCCACTCACGCGGTGCCTGGCGGAGACCGTAGACTGGCCGCCGGAGGCTCCACTGGGTGCCAGGAGGAAAAGACCCAGTGAAGCCAGGTGGGCGACGCAGCCAGATCTCCTCGTGCAGGCTGCCCTGCAAGAAAGCAGTGCTGAAGTCAAGAGAGTGCAGCTCGTAGTCGCGGTGAGCAGCTATGTGCAGCAGTACCCGAAGAGTGGTCATCTTCGGGGTGGGAGAGAAGGTCTGAAAGTAGTCAACTCCCTGCCGCTGACTGAAGCCACGAGCCACGTAGCGCGCCTTGAAGACAGGCGGAGAACCCGGCGGCCGCTTCACCCTGAAAATCCACATGCCACTGACGATGTTCGCCCCAGGCGGGGGAACCTCGTCAACGTAGGTGCCTGTGGACTTCCAGGAAGCCATCTCTGTGTCCATAGCTGCCTGCCACTGAGAGGAGTAGGGACCCTCTATCGCCTCCGCGTAAGAGCGCGGAGTCGGGATGTCAAGTGCATCCGGGTCTCCCTCAGGGGTAAGCAGTACGGACACAAGATGAGGTGAAGCAGCAGCCAAACACTGGAACTCCTCCTGCCTGTCCTCAAGGACGTCCGTGCCAAGGGCACACTCACCCCCGACGGACGGAGGACAGACAGACTCAGACTCAACGACAAGACTAGCAGCGTAGTCTAGACGACAGCGAGCAGCAAAGTCGACGAGCTCAGCAACAAGGGCAGACGCAGCAGTGGACTCAAAGGAAGGGTCAGTGACGACAGTAGCAAGGAGACGCGTGACAGTAGGACTGGCAGCACGAAGAGAGTCCGACTCCGGGTCGGCAAGAGCAGGAAGAGAGGACTCAGGAGGAGAAGGCAAAGGGGCACGCAGAGGAGCAGTGGACGGACGCAGAGACATCCGGTGCGTGCCAGGGACAGGAGGAGGACGCTGACGCGAACCACGACCACTAGTGCGAGCAGGACGGACAGGCGACACAGGGCGAGACGCAGGCTCACGACGCTCAGCAAGACCTCCAGTAGGACCAGTGTAGGGAGAAGGAGCGGGCAGTGGGGAGGCCGGCTGTAACTGTAACTGTGACGGGACAGGCTGTGGACACTCTAAGGGAGGAGGAGGACCAGTAGAAGGCGGGAGACCAAGAACCTGCTGAAGGAGCGGAACGAAGTACGGCCGAGGCCGCGCGGCGACTCCAGACACAGCAGGGACAGCACCAGTACCCCCAGCGGCAGCACCAGCGCCAGCAGCACCTCCAGCTCCAGTACCTCCAGCAGCACCAGTAGCACCCCCAGCAGGACCGCCTCCAGGACCGACAGCAGTAGCCTCAGCGCCAACACCCTCAGCAGCTCCAGCTCCAGTCGTACCCGCAGGCCCAGCAGCTCCAGTACTCCCAGTACGAGCACCTCCGGGACCCGCGGCACCAGCACCCTCAGCAGCCGAAGAACCTCCAGCTCCAGCAGTACGCCTCCAGCGCCGGGCAAACCACTCGCGCAGCTCCTGTGGAGAGAGTGGCTCCCGCCGAGACGAAGCACCCGGAGAACCTCCAGGCTCAGCACCGCCAGACGCCACACGAGCAGGCCCAGCTCCCTCAGGCTCCGCACCCCCAGGCTCAGCACCTCCAGGCGTAGCACCCCCAGGCTCAGCACCCCCAGGCGTAGCACCCCCAGGCTTAGCACCCACAGGCTCAGCACCCCCAGTAGTAGCACTCCTAGGCTCAGCACCCCCAGGCTCAGCACCCCCAGTAGTAGCACCCTCAGGCTCAGCACCCCCAGGCGTAGCACCCACACGCTCAGCACCCGCAGAGTCAGCACCCCCAGGCTCAGCACTCTCAGCAGCACCAGAGTCACCAGTAACCTCGACAGGCTCGACTGCGTCTACCTGGGACACACCTGAAGGGGCAGGACCCTGAGGGGGGAGGGGGTCTACCGAGGGGGGACCTGGCACAAGGAAGAGCGGTGGCGGGGGGAGGGACGGAGTGCGGTAGGGGAAGAGGCGGTAGTAGGGGACCGACTCGTCAAACGTGACGTCCTGGGAGGACAGAACACGGCGAGAGGTGGGGTGGTAGAACTGCCACCCTGGCGCGTCAGGGGGGAAGCCAAGGAAGACACAAGGAGCAGCACGAGGGGACAGCTTGTCCGCAGACAAGTCGCGGACAAACGCCCGAGATCCCCAGACACGGAACGCAGACGCATCGCCAACCTTCCCCGTCCACAGCAAAGCTGGGGAGGTCTCCGGCATGGAGACCCTGGGGTGAAGGTTGATCTGATGCGCCGCGTACCGAACCGCAAACGGCCACAGAAAATGGGGGGCAGCCGCATGCATCATGGACGTACGGGCGACGTCCATGACCATGCCAATGCGGCGCTCAGCAATCCCATTTTGCTGGGGAGAGTCCGGAAGCGTGAAGGTCTGGCGGATGCCTCGTGCACGACAGTAGGCTCGCAGAAGGCCAGAGGAGAACTCTCCACCTCTGTCAGAGTGCAGACGCAGAACAGGAAAGTCCGAGCCGAAGCTCTGCCTGAGCTGGAGACGAGCTGCGCGGATCCAGTCGATCAACACCTCAGTGACATCACCCTTGCTGCGCAAGGGGAAGACTGTGGTGTAACGCGAGTAGTCGTCAACCACCAGCAGGAAGTAGCGCTCGTGACCCTGTCCACGGACGCGGGCCGGGCCCCACACGTCCATGTGAAGCGTCTGCAGCGGGGCCTCTGTCGGAGGAAACTGGGAGGAGTGAGGGGCAGCCCGCTGCCGCCCCTCGACACAGGGGACGCAGGTAGGGCCAGGCCCCGGAGGAAGGGGAGGGAGGGACCGGGGAA